ACCCCCAGCACTCTCTGTGTACAGTAGTGCCTCCTGTCCTGACTGGAGGAGCTCATCCAGCTGTGTCTGGAGAGAAGCCAGAATATCGGCTTCAACAACAGGACTGGGCTGCTTGTTCCATACCCCCAGCACTCTCTGTGTACAGTAGTGCCTCCTGTCCTGACTGGAGGAGCTCATCCAGCTGTGTCTGGAGAGACACCAGGGCATTGGCTTCAACAACAGGGCTGGGCAGATTGTTCCACACCCCCGCCCCCCTCCATGTAAAGACCGAAGCGCCGAGTGCTCTTGGTCCAGAGTTCCTGCGGAGCTCAGAACCCCCTCAGGAAACCTCGTGCTCCATCCCTTGCAGGATGTGTCTGTACAGCGACCGTTCTCTGTTGTTCTTGCAACCATTAACCCACTAAATGTCAGCAGACATGTCACAAGATTAAGTAAGACGAAGTAACCCATTAAACCACTTTAATGTCACAAGAAGCAAGAGAGCAGAAGCCCAGGTAAGTGGCCAGTGCTGAGGTGGGGGTTTCCTGCCGGGGGGCTATTTAACAGCCTCTGTTGAGCCCCTGCTAACAGACACATCCCTGCTGGGAAGAGGAGACTCAGACGGATCCCGGAGGAGCTGCAGGTAGGGAGCGTCCCGTCTCTGCGAGTGTCCGCGTGCTGCACAGAGCACACCACCAGCACCACAGCCGAGAGAGAGAGAGAGAGTCACTCCAGCAGTGAGAGTGAGACACTGGACTCTTCCGATGAGGTTTACGAACCCTGTGCAGGTCTCTGATGAGGCCCGAGGTGAACAAGTCTGAGAAGGGCCAGGCAGGGGAGCAGTCGATCGTAACATGGACATCCTGCTGTATGTACTGGTGGGACAGTCTTCAGAAGAGCAGGAGACAGTCTTGTGCAGATTTAGAATTGAATAAGATCAGCACACAAAACAATGAAGTGTTGGGTGAGAACAGCCAAGCGGCTAAAGTTTTTACACCTTCTTATTCTCTGTAGTCTCAGTGTATTCCATAGCAGTTTGGTTTGTTTCAGTTTCAGGTCTTGTTGTTTGAAACTGGTTACTCCTTCTCTTACTAACCTCAGGAGAAGCAAACTAATTACAGGTGTTTTCATTTTTCAGTTCTTATTGTTTAATAGTTACAAAGATTTGTAGCCATACTGACATATACCAG